GAGCACTGGGAGGACGCAAATACGGGTATATATTAATTACAAACATAATCAAAAAACTTTCAATAAAGTTGTAAAACACTTACAATTTTCTCGAAACACACGACACACTCGGCTTCCCTCCAGAGCCGGACGTCAGACAACTGTCCCGAGAGTTGGATCAGATCGACGTCACCCGCGAATGGATCGGCATTCGTCACCTCAGGAGCCGATGGCAGAGACAGTGGTTGCGTCAGATCGGGTGCCGAGGGCTGGACCGTAGCCGACGTCGCCATCAAAGCACTCGTATGGCCACCACTGGCGGTGGCGACGGTCGCCACCTGTTGTTCATCCAACTTATCGCGAATCAGTTGACACAAGTGGTAGTCATCGACGCCCAGCCCTAGTATCTGCTTATCGCCCATTGAGTTGAGCCTATCGTACGTCAAATCCGTAAAGAGTGTCAAATAGTTGGCCATTCGGTCGCACTCCGAGTGGACGGCAATCAGCGCTCGACCGATACGCTCGTCGATACCCAACTGCCGGATCTGTGCCTCCATTGGCTGCCTCTCCATAAGGCACTGGTATTGTATGAGCCAATAGTCGGTGTCGTCGGCGGCGCCCACTTCCAGCCGCCGGCGCTCCATCTCCAGCACCTGTTGTCGCAACTGTTGGTCTCGTTGTCTCTTCTCAGCCAACAGTTTGGTCAACAGTTGGGCCAACTCTCGTCGTTTGCCGATAATGTCAGCAATAATTGTGTCCATACGCTCGTCGCGGCGCTGCATCTCAGCGCTCGTCAATTGCGTTAACTCCCACTCAATGAGCCCTATCTGTCCCGTCAGTTGACGGCTCCGGTAGTCTCGCGTGCGCTGTAAGGCCTCGAATGCCTGTCGTTGTAAGCGTTCCTATCATACAAAACCCATTATTAAGTTATGTGTGGAAAGGGAGGGACAGGTAGTGGAGGGAAAGGGAGGGACAGGTTGTGGAGGGAAAGGTGAGGGGGAAAGGGATGTCATATACCTGTTGATTGATTTTGACGCGAATCTCCAATTGATTAAACTCTTTGAGATCATCGGTGAGAGCCCTTTGAGTGGACTCTCGCGTCAACATCTCGTGCATCGCAATGAGTATCGCATTTTTCCGGAGCACCACTTCTTTGTCGTACCGAAGCATACGCTGTAAGAGCTGACGTTCAGCCGACTCGAGCGCTTCCACTTGGTTTCGGTGCCTCTCATCCCAGTTATAGATACTGTCCAACAGTTGCGCTGAATGTCTGTCCACTGGAAATGCAAAAATAGGATTACATTTGTGTTCACACAGTCTTCCGAACCGATGCCGTAAACCGTGCCTTACATTGGGATATATTGTCGAGTAGTGTCTGTCTCTCCCTATCCTTCTGGCGCTGACGACTGTTGATATCGGCCGACATCTGGCGCTCGGAGTCCCATATCTGGGCCAACAGTTGCCGTTTCTTGTGGTCACCGGCGGTGCTGTTGGCCTCGCTATTGGCCGACGACTGGAACTGTAGCTCCCATTCAATTAGTGCTCTCTTTTTTTGGTCCTAAAATTGTTGGTCATTAAAAACAGTTTAAATAGATTTTTAATAAACAATTCTGTTATATTCTTATTAAGTTTTGGTACAGAATATTCTGGTTGAGAAAACATGGTTAATACTATTCATTATAACATTGATGACAATATCAATCAATACATGCCTTCAGATTGTGGTAATTCTGGTATTCAATGGTCTCCTGTATTGCCGGTGCGATGGGATGTGTGTATGTGTTTTGGGTGCGAGTGAGGGGCCAGTCATGTGTGCAATCAATTTACATAATAGCGTCAATTAATAGGACATTTTAATTGTAGAAATATTAAAATAAACATAATTTCAAAAATTATCATAAAATAAATTATAAGTAGCGGTAAACTACAGTACAGGTGCACTACTGGTCCAGTAGTTGCTATGCAGCCAAAGCGTACACAAAGTGATCATTAAATATTTAAATACTCGTTATAGTGAATTAGTCTACAAAAAGTACATTATATACGATATTTAAAAAGATAAATATATATCTTAAAATAAATCTAATTTTATAAGCATATCTATGACACGGAATATTCTGTATGACATTTAACCATCATTAACAAAACGGTCAAAATAATCTATATATACAGTATAAATAAATGGAAAAATACATTATCGTAAATAATGAATTTAATTTTTAAATACCATTCGTTATAAACCATAATTAATAATAGACTTTTAATGGTAAAAATGTCAAAATATAATTGCTATCATTTATACGACAATTATTTTTAAGATTACCGCAACTGTGTTCACGATTTCCATAAAACACACGCAAATAGAGATCAGAATATTTCATAACAACTCGTATCCCATGTTTGCATCGATTGAATGTAAAAATACTAGTTTTAAGACTTATAACAACAATGCTATTAATAATAGTCTTATGATATGTTTGATATAATGCAAGAATATTCTGTATTTTGAATACATCTACTTTATAAAATACTCAACTTGCTATATAATCTCTCTCTCTCTCTCTCTCTCTCTCTGAAAATAATTGANCCTTACTTGTAAATTGAATATACAATATAATTGTACTGGTAAGATATTCTTTCACATTAATGAACTTTTTCCAATACTACTTTGCTTTATGAAAAGTGTTTAATGACATATCTATATTCTCTCTCTCTCTCTCTCTCTCAGACACAACACTAATTTCCTGCTCTATAGTGTACTGATTAGAGTAAATGACATAATATTAAGGCTAATAAGAAATGAAGAGAATTGAAAACCGCAAACACAGGAAATAACACTCAATTGAATTGTGGCTAAAAAACAAATTTCCGTATTTAAGATGTTTTCTATCAATTTTTACAAAAATCAATTCACAATTATTTATAAAATAAACAATTTATGAAAATAGTGTCAATTTTGATAATAATTTCCGGCGTTAAATGATTTCATGTAAAAACAAGTGGATGTGTGTGTGAGAGAGAGAGAGAGAGAGAGAGAGAGAGGATGCGCTCCATTTAGCATCCCAGCTCTCTCTCTCACTGAAAATAATTGATTTACAGATTATTTTTGTAACAACTTTTTTACTCATCGCATATACTTATAGCCATAGCTTTACTCCACTTATAGTTTTTATAAGTTATATAAATAAACACTTTGTGTTTCATTTCAAACTCATTTCTTACTACTATTTTCGGATACTTTTTGGGATCCGATTTCAAAACCCTTATAATGTTTAATAGATTTGTATTGACTTTATTAGTATTGAAATAAGTTTTTTCAATATATTATTTGCAATATTCTGTTCAAAATCTACGGCTATTCTTGTAATAAGTTTTCAATTGTTATTGAAATTCTGTATTGAATACAGAATAACGGTTTTAATTATTTATATACATATTTCTGAATAAAAAAGTGATATTAATTTACTGCTATTAATAGCTATAATTATATTTTTGTATTTATATTCTCGAAAGTATTGCAAAAACTATTATTGATTTTCATTGAAAGTAACGAAAACCTATTGTAAAAGTTTTGCGTTTTAATTAAAAAAGCAAAAAACTTTTACAATAAGTACATTAAACAAAAATTTCATTATACAACAATTCTATAGCATTTATTAGTTTACTATACCGAGTATTTACTCTATGATATAATACAGTAAAAATACAAAAACAATTCATAACTCCAAGTGTCTGACAAATTAAACTTCAATTTCAATGTTTTATAACGACCTATTATTGAAGTAAAATTAATTGCATTATAAATATTAATATCATTCACAGAATAAAAAAACAACCAATATGGTATGTAATAAAAACACATACATTAAGTACATTAAGAGCCTACCGGTGCCTAACAGTGCAAAACACTGAATGTTTGACAAAACAAAAATTAATGCCATAATTATTACAACACTATTGACTAAAAATAAGTCATTAAAACATATATTAAAAACTAAATACAATTAAAAATATCTTAAAAAACATTGATTGAAATCATACCAAAATCGGATCCTTTTCATCGCCACTGTCCGACACTAGTCCTCGACATTCATCGCCATCTGATCCGTTATTATCACAACCGTTACCACAATCTTCGTTGCCATACATTCGTTGCAAATGGTCGACAATGGCGTCCAAACCCTGGCGGCAGACATCGGGCGCCGGCGACTCAATGGGATTGCCCTCCAATTGAAGTGACTTCAGGAGCCGTAGTCTCAATAGAGAGGCCGGAAGAGCGGTCACCAGATTGTCGGCCATATCGAGGCACGTGAGGGCCGGACACCGGGTGATCGCATCGGGGAATGCCGTGAATTGATTGTCACGAATGGCCAGTATCTTAAGCGCCGGCAGTCGGCCCATAGAGTCCGGCAACGATGACAACTGGTTGTGGCTTAAGTACAGCTCCTATTATAATACATCATTGATTTTAAGTCATAGTTTCAGTTATTTAACTAATTTATAAATAAATAATACTAATTAACTAATCATTAGATCCCTGCCCCTTATCCCATCACATCCAGCTATATTAATATACTATATGAACTGTATTGTATAACTTAGAGATTTAATACTTTTAGTATATAGTTTTAAATTACTTTTTTTTAAATATTACAGTTACTTATAATTACAATAAAATAAGAAAAATTAATTATAATTAAATTTCAATGAATAAAATGATGGCTAACTTTGAGATGAACGAGTTGTGAGATGTGGTGACCGATGGTATGGATCCGATTGTAGGACAGGTGTAGAGCGCAGACACGGCTCATGTGTTGCACAGAATCGACGGCAAAGTCTTGGACGCGATTCTCGTCAAAACGGCAGTCAGTTTTGGCGTAGATTTTAATCGTTGTCTGCATTTCAACGCTAATGGCATTCAACTCACAGCCCGACAGGTCTAGTATAGGCTCCGGGTCTGACTGGCACTGCAAATACAACCATATTGTTATCAGTTGGAGAGAGAGAGAGAGAGAGAGAGAGAGAGAGAG